TTGCATAACATAGCAATACAATTGTAAAAAAAATAATTTTTTCAGATTAAAAATGAAAAACCATTTGCGTGTTTGTTACTACTAATAGTGAATAGTTGTAAAAATGGTGTATTTTTATGAAAAAACTGCTTGCATAATTGATTTAAAAAAATAGATTTTTCGCTTTCAGAAAAGAATTAAGTAGCCCTTGCATCAGAACTTTGAATGATTTAAGATATCATGATGTCCGATTTTATTTTTCTCTTCTACTTTCTGAGATGGACGGACGGACGGACAGACAGACCACAGAAAACTAATAGTGTCTTTTCCTCTTTCGGGTCCGCTAAAAATCAAACAATTATTTCATCAATTAGTTATACTTAAATAAATTTTGTTTCATATAGAAAATTCGCGGAGCTAGGGGAAATAAGCCTTGGGTAGAGAATTGGGTGATTCGAATTAAAGATAACTAGAGTAAAAAAAAATAATAATAAAATATTAAATGTTAATGTAAAGATGAAATCAAAGGCTGAAAACTTTGAATAGGATTTGTCTCAATCACCAATTTCACAAATATTTTTTCTTCAATTAAAATACATTTCGTTTCATACAGCATTGATATATCTAACCGATAGTTCTACATTTTTTTTTTGTAAACATACAAATCGTCTCACTCATACAGTAAAACGCACTTGAGAGAAGGGGGGGAAAAGCATTGGGTGTGAATTTTACTTAAACTAAGACCAGACTGACCCAACGCTTATTTTTTAAAATTTATTTTCAATTTTAGTGGCGCTTTAATGTCTCTTTAATCTCTCTCTCTCTCTCTCTCTCTCTCTCTCTCTCTCTCTCTCTCTCTATCTCTCTCTCTCGAACTTTGACTTGTCATTACTGTCAAAACGAACACTTAAAAATAGAAAGAAAAAAAATTACGGTGTAAGGCTTCCATGTGACACTCGTGATAATATATCCCACGTGAACATGGCCTCAATTTGTATGCCTTTTTTCAAATAGCCAGCCAACATTGCAGGGGGGGGGGGGCGATGACTGAAAGTAAACCAGGTCAAGTACAGACATTGCCACGTGAATTTCACTTTGAATCGCTATTTTGTGTGTGTGTGTTAGTTTTGAATCTTGTGTTTCACCTTTGTTCCACGCTATTGTTCTTTTTAGATTACAAACGCCATAATTGGATTAAACAAATATTTTGTGCTCATGTCTGTGCAAGACTTTTTTAAACATGTCATCCAGCAAAACGTGAAAGCCTTATTTAAGACGAAAATGTGGGGTTTTGACTACTTAAAACACATACAATCATAATGCAATGAACTTACAATATGAAGGTAAAAAAAATTGTCTGGAGAAAAAATGAAACTAATAACACTAACACCGGTGTGCCTATATCGTCCGTCTCTCGTAATAATGCGAAAGATCCATTATACAAAATATAAATGTCGATAAAGTAAAGTGTAACAAAACAAAAACAATGATTTGAGATAAAAAAACAAATTTAAAAGACTGCAATAAAATAGAACAAGAAAACATTTCGATACGTCATTGTCAATGCGCCTGAAATAGAACTTACTTGTCGTCCTAACGTCAAAACGGTTAAGTTTCTCCTCCAGAGTATCGTACCATCATTCTGTAGATGTCTTTTGCTGGACTAAAACAAACCCGTTCTAGGTCTTCTTTCTGAACATATGTGCCAAGAAAACGCTTGATGTGGGATCTTCGCCAAGAGAATGCATTTCCGTAGCAGGGAATGATGATCTAAGTACAATCAAGCTCTTCTGTTAAGAATCCATCGAATTATTTTACAAAGTCTTGTGGACTAGCTATTAGCCACGAGGCGCCAGGTGGCGAACTTTATTATTATTTTTTTTTTTTTAATTTAAGGAGGTGTCACTATAGAAAGTTTGCTGCTTTGCACAAAACATCTGACATGTTTGTAACAATATTTGCTCGCAAGCTCTTTACTATGACTTCTTAAAGGCTCCTAAAATTATGTTAAACAAGTCTATTCACAAAGTTGAACCAAGCCTCTTCACAGGATTGTAACTCCTCAGCCGGGTCTTCCATCCTAATCCCCTATGTTCTATTGTAGGTTATTTTTTCATTGATTTGTTCACATCTTTAAAATGAGTGTCGATTCTATTTTTTTAAAAACCAATAGCTATTATTTAAAATGTTACAAAAACAGTTTGTGTGGAAAAACAAACTCAAATCGACCCCCGAAGTAGGCCACTCAGGCAGGTAAAATGGCAGGTTTCATTATTTTCAGGATGGATATCAGAAACTATGAACTACCAACTCTCAACCACTACAACCCTATCATAACTATGAACTACAAACTCTCAACCACTACAACCCTATCATAACTATGAACTACCAACTCTCAACCACTACAACCCTATCATAACTATGAACTACCAACTCTCAACCACTACAACCCTATCATAACTATGAACTACCAACTCTCAACCACTACAACCCTATCATAACTATGAACTACAAACTCTCAACCACTACAACCCTATCATAACTATGAACTACAAACTCTCAACCACTACAACCCTATCATAACTATGAACTACCAACTCTCAACCACTACAACCCTATCATAACTATGAACTACAAACTCTCAACCACTACAACCCTATCATAACTATGAACTACCAACTCTCAACCACTACAACCCTATCATAACTATGAACTACAAACTCTCAACCACTACAACCCTATCATAACTATGAACTACAAACTCTCAACCACTACAACCCTATCATAACTATGAACTACAAACTCTCAACCACTACAACCCTATCATAACTATGAACTACAAACTCTCAACCACTACAACCCTATCATAACTATGAACTACAAACTCTCAACCACTACAACCCTATCATAACTATGAACTACAAACTCTCAACCACTACAACCCTATCATAACTATGAACTACAAACTCTCAACCACTACAACCCTATCATAACTATGAACTACAAACTCTCAACCACTACAACCCTATCATAACTATGAACTACAAACTCTCAACCACTACAACCCTATCATAACTATGAACTACAAACTCTCAACCACTACAACCCTATCATAACTATGAACTACAAACTCTCAACCACTACAACCCTATCATAACTATGAACTACAAACTCTCAACCACTACAACCCTATCATAACTATGAACTACAAACTCTCAACCACTACAACCCTATCATAACTATGAACTACAAACTCTCAACCACTACAACCCTATCATAACTATGAACTACAAACTCTCAACCACTACAACCCTATCATAACTATGAACTACAAACTCTCAACCACTACAACCCTATCATAACTATGAACTACAAACTCTCAACCACTACAACCCAATCTCCGTTGATACAAATAGAAGAGACGCGTAAGTTCCGAAAGTGTTGCCGATACTGTTGTATTCTTAATCCGACTGACGACTTGATACCACACACAGGATACGGAGATTTATTCATGTTATTATAATTACATTGTTAATATTCATACGTATTCCATGAACTGATATTTATAAAGGTATGGTTCAATGTGAACCTGGCCTAACTGATGTTATTGAATGATTATCTAATTGATTGAATTGCTTTGTAGAGAGACTATCATTCAAGGCCTCACCCTTTCTTCATGTACTATATGAAAGTATATTTTACATAGTATGAAACACTGCTTATCAATTATTATTTGAATTACGTTCGCTACATATCTGCATACTTAATGTCTTGTGTTCTCTCTTTTAAAACTAAAGTACACATTTGATTGAAAACTTCAATAGCTTCTAGGACTATGACAGAAAAACCTAAGTAGTAATATCATTTTTATAATAAAATTATTTTTGGAGAAAAAAATACATATTAATATAATTTCAAATAATTACATTCCTCCTTATTAATAAGTTCTTCCCTGTTTCTTACTATTAATAAATAAAAAAAATAGATGTAAAAAATGGTGCATTTTCATGAAAAAAATAAACTGCTTGTAAAGTCCATTTTAAAAATTAAACTTTTCATTTTCAGAAAAGACAAATAAGTAGCCGTTGCTATGATATCAAATTTTAAATATCTTTTCTAGTTTTTAAGATCTAAACGTGACGGACGGATAGACAGACCGCACAAAACTAACAGCTGTATTCCTCTTTCAAGGGCGCTAAAAATACAAAGAACTACAAACTTCATAAACAGAATTAAAGACAAACAAAAAAAAAAAAAACGCCGGATATGAGTTTTCCTTTATTTGTATATAGAGACGCTTAGGCCACTATGTTTCTTTTGTTTTATTATTTTTTTTATTATACAGCAAAGTTTGTTATGACGCATGTAACTGCAAGCTTTTTAAAAAGGAAAAATAAATGGAAAACAAATTATTTATAAACTACTTTTGATGTTAGGCGAAGGGAGTTGATTACAAAAATCTTTAGAAGTAATGTAATTGCTTCCCTTAGATTAAAATTATTTATTTTATATCTAAAAATATTTAGTTCTATATTTCAGGCCCTTACTTCGAATTCCATACTGGGATGATGCTGGTCAGATAAATGATTTTCAATCTGTATTACTCCACCCAGAGAGTCTCACTATCTCTAATTCTCGCTCAGCACTTCTTAGGGTTAGCAGACGTCGGCAAAGGGAGGCCATTGCTAGCGTAGTGGGAATGTGGAATGGTACGAATGCGTGTCGAAAGGAGAGGAAGATTAGATATATTGACAGATTATTGTTTGTTGAACTAAGATTAAAGTTCTCATAATCAGCTATTGTTGAGTCTGTTTTGGTGTATGATTAAGAGGGTTGTCGTAACAAGTTGTTTGATCAGTACATAAAAACAAAAGACAACTCTCACTATTCGCTTTTGTATAAATTATAGAAAGCTCTTCTAATGAAACTTGTTACTCAGATCTCAAAATGTGTGAATTTTCCTTTTTTATTCCCTAATGCCATCTTGAGTCAATAAATGAAAAAAAAAACATTGATACAAATTTCTTTTTCATCCAATGTTTTATTTATTGAAAAGATGTCATAAATAAAGTGAGAAAAACAATTTTGTGCTCAGATGATTGTTTGAAATATCAACACATTTGGAAGAAAATAACACAACAAAATGGCTACTTTCAAAAATGTCCACACTTGTTTCTCTGCATTACAATGTACATCACAATTGTTCCCCTTCTACTATTGACATGTCTACAATGGACATTCACTTTAGGTTGATAAAAAAAGTTAGACCAGTAAAAAATGAGTTACATTATCAAACAAGTTTATTTAAAACATTGTTAAAACCAGTTCACATCTATTGGTTAAAAAATATCAAAATGCAAAACATGAAAAAATGGAATAAGATCAAACAATACACTTGATGGATAGGAAAACAAAAAGCTGGTACTATCAATACTGTCACATCTAACTGTTTGAAAAGTGCTACCAAGTATGTTTAGACTTAAGGTCTCATTCTAGGTTGTAGTAACAAACATCTTTCCCTAGTGAACTTTGATGAAATACTTTTAAAATCCATTATGTAGTCATAGAAGAAGACAGTCAAATCATTGGGTTGTTGATATAAATATGACTACATTATATGGAGCAGTGACTCTCAACATACAGAAACTCATGGACCATTTTAGTCCTGACTAACAGGGAATTGTGAAAACAGAGTTGAATCAAATCCCACTACCCTTTATTATCTACATACATATACACATGCAAATTTAGTGTCTTTATTAAAAAGAACATCAAAGGAAATACAATTTCAATAGCTACCAAAAGTTCCATGTTACAATTTTAAAAGGGGGCAAAGAAAAAAAAAACTACAAACAAAATCACATTACAAAGTAACAAACTGTGAACAGTGTGTAGAACTAGATGGTCAAAGCTCAGCTGTTTCAAAACGATGCATTAGTACAATGTTTCATCTAGATGTTGAACAAAGACTATGGACTACAACCAAAAGAAGGAAAGAAACACAATGGATCCAGTTGAACAAAATAAAAGCATGAGTAATGGAGTGAAATCAAGATAAACACAAAACTGGACGGCCAAGAAAAACTGTTTTTGTGTTATGTGTGGTACATCTCATCAATTATTGACATGTGATTATGTCACTTAAAGTAGACACAAACTTGTATTGAAATCAATCATTCCAAAGGAAACAATCAGTAGATATATCAATTAATTCCTAGAAACTTCAAAAATAGATTTTGCTTTGAAAATTCTATTTCAAATATGCACACAAACTTCTTTCCTTAACAAATTTTGAACTTTTTATACAAAGTCAAATCTAATTGTAAAAACTTCATGCCAAAAAAAAATGACTGTGTTGTGGAATCTTACACATCAAATGATGTGAATGGACAGGTGAAAAAAAAAGTATACAATAAAATCTTACTTATCAATGTACTAAATACCATGCATACATCATAAATATTTTTTTTTTTTAAATGTACCTATATGTTTATTCTATCTATTTATACACATGAATAACTATTTGTTTTATAAGCCAGCAGCAACCATTAGTAATGTGATTGTGCAAGTGCATGTTTTATACAAAGAGAAACAACTCTGCTAGACATTGTTTTAGTTGTAGTTAACTTGAAATTTTCAAATCAATATTTCTTTTAAAGAATGTAGAGGAATATTTTACAAAGTCTGTTGCTGTTTTTTTTTTTTTTTTGGCTATATCTATGATAAAGAGTACTTGCTATTTATTTACAATAAATAATGATTTTCTTCTTCTTGTAAGATAATAAAAGCAAACAAATGTTTAAATTACTGCTACATATAAAAAGTCAAAATAGCTTGGAAAAGATCTTCGCAACTTGTAAAATGCATTTCCATAGTCACAGGAAGAAAAATTCAAATACAGATTTTTTTTAAAAGGTTAAATTAGATTATTCTAAAAATTTGTTTGCTAGTGCACTACAAAATTAATTATAACAAATCAAACACCAGTAGCAAAACAAGATTTATAGTAGCAGAATTAAAATTAACAGCATCATATTCAGTCTTTTTATTCAGTCACACTCTAGCATTATTTTCATTTCATTTGTATCAATCAGTCTTAATCTATCTCTGAACAATCTGACATATTATGTTCTAACAATGAATAACTCAAGAATGCAATTAATCATATATTCTTTACTTAAACTAACTACCCGTACAGAAATTGGAAAAAAAAAAAAAAAAGACATTAAGCCGCAATCAGATCTGATGAAAGTTGGCTACAATCAACTCATCTGCTAGAGTAAGCTGCCCTAAGGGAAATTGCAGTTCTGCTTATTTAAAGTGTTAGCTACCTTTTGCTTTTACTCATAGAGTTACCCCAACTTAAATAATTGACATGTTTTGAAATAAAGATTTGTCTGAGTTATCAGTATAAATAGACCTCCAAGGTTAAGATTAAATGTAGGCTACAAGTTTTTACTAGATATGTCTTGACATCCAAAATTAGGAATTGAAAGTGTTATATATTCAAGGCTTTAGTAGAGAAGAAAGAGCATTAAAAGAATATGCAGTAGTTTAGCTTACGAGGATGAACATATTATATACTGTGATTTTGTGACGATTTGAAATGAAGCACTCTAGTAATATTTTATGTGGAGTAGCTGAGGTCATATTATAGAATACATTCTTATTCTCAATTTTTACACCACCAAAATTGACCAAAAATATTGCAAGGTATTTATTATTAATACACCTTTGTACAAAATATTAGTTTACGTTTTTTGTTTGTTTATGGAAACATTTTTAGGACATTTAGAGATATGGACAATTTTAAATGATGATGGGAAAAGTCAAAAGTCTCACATTGTCCTAGCATTGAACTTGTATCTGGCCCATGACTGGCTATGGTTCAAAACAATGAGATGAGCCTAAACTGGATGATAAATAGAGCTACATAAAGCTCATATTCCAATTAACCCTATGCAATGTTTAACATGCACATATGTATTTTCTAATGTGTAGAGACAAACAAAGCATCTAATAGTGTACAGAGAAATATTTCCCAAAACTTTCAAATACACTTTGAAAAGAAATAGATTTGAAGTTGGACAACGACATACCAGAATGTGAACTCAACCAATAAAACCTTTTGTGCAATCCTTAAACTCTCCTAAGCTTTAACAAATAGATTACTCAGTAAAATCAATATCTGTATTTGTCTGGGAACATCACAAGCTGTTAAATCCAGAACATTAAAATTTGTCATAGTTTCAAGCAAATATCAATACAAGCCTTTGTGAACTTATTTTCCAATATTTGAAATAAACCAATTAAATAATCAAATTATTTAAGAGAAAATCTATTTTTTTAAAAGTACACATATTTTTTTTATTTATTGATTGATAAATATTTTATTTGAAAAAAATGAAATAAATTATTTATCCAGATGAATAAAATTTTTAAGTGAATCATATCACTGTTTTACACAGCAAAGACTTACAAATATATTTTTTAAAATGTGTTATCTTTACTGTTACATATCTAACAATCCTACCCTCTTAACAAGATTTCTCTTCTGGTGAGCTGATGTATACAGGGAATTGTGGGTACTTTTTTAGAACAACTAAAAACAATTTATTACAAACATGTTCAGGGCTAGCACTGAGCACATATGTAAATAAAATATACCAAGACTAAATAACATCTCTGCTTCATCTAATAAGGAATATTGAATCATGATATCTAAAGCAATACAACGTTCAGCGCAACTAACAAACAAATGTTACTAAATGTGTATTAAAGAGAAAGAAATGAAAAAAAAAGATTTGACTGAATTTGATGAAGAATGGCACATCAATTCACTGTGAGTTAAATTCTATAATGCAAGTATTCATAGATATGGGACAACGTTCAAGCCTATTCAATACTGCTAGAGTTCTGACCAGGATTAATAAATGCATATAATTCCATGTTGCTCTTCTGGTGGCTTACAAAGTCTATAATGTAGATCTATTTTGAAGATTATCCACATATTGTCTAGTACCATGTTAATTAACTATTTTTTTTAACAGGAATTTAAATAAAAATGTTTTGTATAGGAGAAACTAATTTGCCAGCATATTATTAAAACAGGAAAAAAAAAAGACTAATCAAAGGAGATAAAAATATATATGAATATGATCTTTTCGATATATGTAAATATTGCCATAGTATCACAAAATTCATCTTGTAAAAAAGATTTAGATTGACTTTAAAAAATAAATAATGTCTAGATATTATACTAGAATAAATGTGGATTATTGCTATGAATTATTTCCTATTCAGCTAAATTTACTTTGCATTTTATAAAGTTCAATTCATCACAACATTTCTACTAAGTTACCAATTCTATTGCATAAATTATATTGTTTTTAACAGCCCAAACTATGGTGATGCTGTGTGCTAACAAGTTTAAATTAACAGCTAGCATAAAATAAGTAGAAGTTTTGATAATATAAAATACATACAAAAATATATTCAGTAACATAAAAGTTGTAAAACTGATCTTATGCTCTAATGGCACTAGGAGTGAAAGAGCACATAGTAATTTATCATAGCATAGACTTTAAAAAGGCGCCTACCACTTGACAACTTAGGAAACATTAAAAGTGATGAGAGATGGTCTAATTAATCTTAAGAGAAGTGTAAACATTGAAACAGTCTAGGCATGTACATGTTTATGAACCAGTCAGGAATAAAAAAACTAAACAAAATATTCTTAATTGAACAGTGAGCATTTCTTAATGATGTGGCAATATACTCATACACATTTTTTAAACGAGTGAGCATTTTGAAGCAAATTAAGTTTCAACATTGACCAATGTCCAGCATTGGTCAAGATATGTCAAGTTGATTAGCTCAGATGAATTTTGAAATGTGACAAGTCATGCACGAGCAAATAAAATGTGGAGAAAAAATCTGTCTATTCTGAGGAGGCATTTATAATGTGAAGAGAAGATCTGTCTATTCTGAGGAGGCTAAAGAGATTATAAATATGCAGTGGTAAGGGATTTAATGATCTTGACCCATAAGAGTTCTATAAGATAAGTGAAGTAATATTTCCATGTTTCTGAGGCAAATGGTACTTAAAAGTGACCATCACAATGACTAGACCCTTTAACTTTTCCTAATAAATGTCAGGAATCCAATAGAGGTATCTTAAATCCTGATAGAGGATTCTAAGGTAAGTTTCATTTTGGCAGCCAAGTGCTTTTCCCTCAGCTTTGATAGCCCTAGGATGGACATGTACCCAACTGAAAAGAATCACCCAGCTCAGTCTGTGGCAAATTACTATTGCTGCCTATGCTCCACTGGGAGTCAAAAGAATTAAGTTTAGTTTGATAGCTCTATTCTTGATAGTAAAACACCAATAACTACTTGACTATTTAAAAAGGCTTCCAGTATCAGCTAGTATTTATCCAACCAAAACTGTATTGTAGACAAATTTATTTCAATATCAGAGCCATCATATGTCAAGAATACTTTATAATTTAAAAGTATTGTTGAATATTTAATTAGTGTTTTGATATTTAAAAAAAAGGGTGAGAACTCTATTATGCCAATTACCTGTCATGTATATGTGTAATTAAATAATTATACATTTCAAATAACATTAACTTTGTAAAGTGTAACAGATAGTTACAAAATAATGACAATAATTATTAAAATGAACAAGATTTGTACCTTTTTCTTTGTGCCAAAAAAAAAATCAACAATTAGTTTTAATGAAACAGCTCAGCCTTTCAAAGCTTCAGTATATGGAAGATTATCTTTTGTTGAATCTGCTCTATCCAGGAGCGGTGTATGTATTACATTCATTATGTACAGTAGTTCAAAGTCACAATGAGAAATATATCACATTTGTATTTTATAATTTAGAATTTATCACATTTCATTCACAGTATAGTGCATGTCCGTGACTGAGGTTTACTTCCAACAGATCTGGCATTATTGTAGTGTGTGCTTCGTTTTGGCCGTCTCTTCTCAATAACAGAGTTTGAGTTTGATTCCCGTTTGTCAATCACTGGGTCAACCAAGGATTCTAGAAGCCCAGAGTTTTTCTTCTGCACTCGGTGCAGGACGATGCGATATGTCCCAGTGATACTACTCCTTGAGTCCCTGATGCTTGCTTGTTTCAAGTGGTCCTCCGTTATCCCCAGATTAGCTAAAACAGTTCTGGCTTCACGCTCCTCCTCATTGATCACAGTAGGATCCAGACTTGGGTTTAAATTGTAAGGGTCTAGTGGACCGGGGAATTCTTGATTCTCCAACCATTCACTTCTCTTGATCTCAGCTATCGTAAACCTGTCCTGTGGAATGTGCTTCAAAATGCTGCGAATGAGAAAGACACACCTATCAGACACATACGTTGGCACACTATAGCTTCCTTCAAGTATGCACTTCTTCAGCTTGGCAACAGTTTCAGCCCGAAAAGGCATTAGTCCAGTCACAATGAAATATAGAAGTATCCCTAGTGCCCATATATCTACAAACACTCCAAAGTAGTGTTCATCTTTAAACAGTTCTGGGGCTGCATAAGGTGGTGAGCCACAGAAAGTATTCAACATCTCACTGTTGCGTGCTATGGTGCTGAAACCAAAATCTCCAACTTTAATCCATTTTGAATTTGCATAGAAAACATTTTCAGCTTTCAGATCTCTGTGGATTATGTTGTTGTCATGCTGAAAGTAAA